GGAACTTGAGGAATTTAGCAATTAGTTACCAACTAAAGGTTTATCAGGGTTCTGGATCCAAAACGATCTGTCACTCAAAACGTTGAAAGTACTTATCACCCTCTATTAAATGATTGGAAGAATCATGAACTGAGACTAGAAGGGCATCTTGGGGAAGTAGTGAAAAAATGCTGTGACATTATATATGGCTCCCCTTTTGAGTGGCTCGGATGTTTTCTGTGGAGACTGTGACATTCTATCAATATGATGGATGGAAGAATCTTCTGCTCAGACCATTTTGCATATCCAGTTGAATAAAGAAGTAGCATGAAATTAGTAGACCAGTTAGGTGAAAAATCATAGAATTGTTGAATGATTATGGCACAGAATGAGTTCAGTTGGCCTATAATGTAGTTGTTGTCTGTCTGTAAGAGGGACTTGCCTAGGCCTACTTCTCTGCCTTTTTTTCTGTAGCCCTGCAAATTTTTCATTTTGGATAATTATCCAAATTACATTAAAGGCCTTGATTGATTCTGCCTCTACCGCACTCCGAGACTGTGCATTCCAGGTAAAAATAGGAAAATGATGTAATAAAAATATATTAATCTGGGCTAATCTGGATCGAGCCCTTTGACATTTTCCTATCCTTAAGTATGATAATGAAAGGGCACTATTTGCATTTCCAAAAGCTGCTTCAGCATTTATAGGCTACATTAATTGGTGGTTATTTTAACATTCATAGGTTGCATAGCATTAATTAATCTGTGGAAGATTAAAAACCGCAGGGAATGTGTTTACTGTAAAACCTGAAAAATTATTCTAATGCGTTCAGGTTTAAAACTTAGCTTTATGAATCACAATGTAGAACAATTTCCAAATAAATGATAAATTTATCCATTGATTTATAGAGTATGCAAAGTAAGCACAATATAAAACGTTGAGAGTTATGGATTATAGTTCATAATAATATGCTTCATTCTCTTCAGACTGTGCAAAACAGCCACATCAATCTTAACTAACCTACAAGGATGGCAGTAATGCAAAAATTGCAGGATTCCAGCACTACATCTAATAACTTGTCTAAAGCATATTATTAATTGGAATGTTAACGTTATCATAAATCCTAATGAAAGAAAAGTGTTGACCTGCAACCACTCTGGCAATGTTGAAAATGAAATAAAATCACATTACCCTGTAGGACAGACAATATTTATAAAACACATGCAATCAGTGGCAATTAGACATAAATATGCACCTGGATATTAAACTTTCATAAATTTAGGTGACATAATCATGTACTGAACAAGTTTGTTTCATTGTAGTTTATTTTAACGGCTTAATCAATCTTTAGTACATTTATTACAAACAAATTATGAGACACATCATCACCCACATCCTGTGTAATGTATTGTTTCATCCATACATTTCCAAATCTAACTAATGCAGTGTTTTAGAACAAAGAATCATGGGCTGGATTTTCTGAGGAGTGGCAATCACACACAGGTTACCGTGCTGTTTTACGCAATGAAAGAACTCTGCTTTGAACACCCTTTGGATCTTTTGGGAAAATGAAGATACTTGAAAAGCCAATTAAATGATTTTTTAACCCTCAATTTTGAGTCTAACATTCACGACATCTGACCAGTCAGAAACTTGTCATGATCAGTGGACTGAGGGCTCAACAGAGTTAACTTCTTCACTGAAAGTGATGTATGTGGTCAGGCTTTGATTAGTAAAACTTGAAGCATTCCAAGATGGGAAATACTGTACATAACACTCTCGGAGACAAAAAGTGTTATCATTGTCAGACAAATTATTTCAGGAGATTCTGATCGGGGCACGTTGGGAAATGCAGAGCCATACTTCCAATCTTATGGATCGCTCATAGTGTAGAGCAGGCAAGGGAAGGCAAACCTTGTCACGCTCTTTCATGACAATCATTGCCATATGCTGTAATTTAAAGACCTAGCATCATATATAGCTACTTTGTCAACTCCTGCAAAAGGTTAAGTACATAAGGTAAGTGTGAGGTTAAAATGCTGAAAGGATACGGTGTTGGGGATAGGGTGCCACGTAGGTAGGGTGCCAAGTAGGTGGCATGCCAAATGGGTAGGGGATAGTGGTGGTTCCAGGTGAGTACCTGATGGAAGGGGCCATTTCATCAGGTGGTTGGGTGCTGGTAAGTAGGGTGCCACAGTACAAGGTAACAATGGAACCAGATAAATTATAGTTAATAAATATTTACACTGGGTCAGGGTAGGGCAGGGGTCTTGGGTCAGCAACAGAGCAGGGTGGGGTCAGATTTGGCAGTAAGGTGCTGTGTGTCTAGACTGGAGGGACATGTTGTGTTGTTAGCAGGGTGGGGTTGTTGATCCAACAGCAGTGGTGGTGTTGGGTCTGGTGTGGTAGTTGGGAGTTGGTAAAAGGGTGGGGGGATTGTCAGGTCTTTCAGAAGGCAAAGGGGGGGGGGGTAGGGGTCCGGGGGGAGTGGGGGCAGGGGTGGGTGTGAGCTCGTTTTAGGTCCAGAGCAGGAAGTAGCATTAGGTATGGATCAGGAAGGGGGCCGTGAGGTCCATCAGTTGGGGAAGGAGACGTTATATGCTGGGGATGGGGTAGTCTGGACTGAAGGAGAATTTGATATGAACATGCTGACATCTTCAATGGTTTGAGTCCCATCATTATGCATGGTCTCTGATATCAGCATCCAACTATTTTGGACTCATGAGGATGCATAGCTGTGCCTGTCCTTCACTGGTGCTGTATCTGTCAGTTATGTACCATTGTGCAATGTGTTTAGATATACGGGTGTTGTGTGTGCAAGCTGTAAGATGTGTGAGCCTTGCAACAGGACTAAGTGTTTGAGGTGGAAATGATACTATAAATGTTGGCTGTGAATGTTACAGCTTGCTGCTAGGTGAGTGATGGGGATATAATGAATTGAGCTGTGTGTGAAGCTAGTTGTGCAGTTGGTGCATTATGGCATTTGAAGATACATTCATTAGCTTTTGTCACTTGTGCGGGAGGCTATTGAACTTCTTTTAACACTACATCTAGGTCCTTTGGTCTAGACTCCTGGCTTTGATCTTGGTAGGTATCAGGTATCACTTCCTTTTGAATGTTAGTCAGGGCAGGCTCTCTACCTCTTTTGCTCTCCACCTCTTGCACCAACATTCCCAGTGCAGTATTGATAAATCTTGGGAGCCCATTCTTTAACCTCTCTCCCAGGTCAAATTCAGAGTGAGCTCAAGCGGTTGCTTCAGTTCAAATGCATCCACCCATGATAAGAGGTGCAGACTGATTTTTAGTATTGTAGACTAGCTTGAATTCATGCTAACCCCCTAGGATTTTGTGACCCTAGCTCATACACTCAGCCACTTATCAATGGCCTGGTTCAAGAAGACAGCTCATCACCACCTTCTCAAGGGCAACTGGGCACAGGCAATAAATGCTGGCCAGCCAGCGACACCTACATCTCCCAGATGAATAAGAAAAATAAATTAAAAAAGCTGGCAGTGTTAGCATTCTCTCTGCATGGGAAGCAATGGAAAAGGTTAATGGCACATCACGATCCTTGTTCTCTAGCTTTGTGGCCAGCAGATCCCCGATATAAAGTGTTGCTCATGTAGAGTAAGAGCACTGCTCTTTTTGACTGATATGCATACTTGCTGCTCATACTTTAAGGTGAGCACAGTCATTGGTACAGAAATGCCACTGATTGCATTAACTGACATAAAAGTCTTTGGAATTTCCTTCTTCAAAAAGCAGCGTGTACAGAATCTTTAAATATTTTTAAGGCAGAGGTAGATAGATAGATTCTTGATTATCAAGGGCGTGAAAGATTATTGGGGGTGTGCAGGAATGTAGTGTTGAGGTTAAAATCAGATTAGCATGATCTTATTGAATGGTGGAGCAGGCTTGAAGGGCTGAGTGGCCTACTCTTGCTCCTTAGTAGTTCTGTGTGTTCATATGCTGAACATAACACTATTCATATAGGCTGATGTTGAACTGGTACTGTTTACATTGACTGATGTGGACATAACAATATTTATATGAATTGTCTTGGTTTCATAGAATCCCTACAGTGTGGAAACAGGCCCTTTGGCCCAACAAGTCCACACAGAACCTCAGAGCATCCCACCCAGACCCATCCCCCTATAACCCACCTAATCTACACATCCCTGAACACTACAGGCAATTTAGCATGGCCAATCCACCTAACGTGCACATTGACATGGGGAGAATGTGCAAACTCCACAGAGACAGTCGCCTGAGGCTGAAATCAAACCTGGGTCCCTGGTACTGTGAGGCAGCAGTGCTAACCACTGTGCCACTGTGCTGCCCCTTTATCTATATAACAACAGATACAGCAAAAAGAAACAACTACAACTCAGCGGGTCAGGCAGCATCTGAGAAGAGAAACAGAGTTAATATTTCAGGTGGATGACCTTTCAGCAGAACTGAAGAGAAATGGAAATGTAACATTATTTCTCTTGATATGAAAATAGAACTGGGGAGTTTTTCCAGGCGTCTTATTCTAATTTCAGATTTTCAGCATCTGTAAATAGTTTGCTTTTGTAATAGAGACATTGTTGTTCCTAGAATAATGGCATCATTTACCCTAAATGTGGAAAAGTACACCCTTATGCTTGTTATTTTTTAAAGTGCACAATGTGTACGTATAAGTGACTGTGACTGTGATTGCGCGAGTTCTTGTGTGACTTTATATTTAAATGCAAATACTATGCTTCAGTCAAAGGCTGGGGGAAATGATCTATCAGCATAGCTCTCTAGCCGGTGAATTCACTTACATAGCACATGCCTGCAGTTCACTGTCAGCATTTTCTTCTGTGAAAGGGAGAAAATAGATAACATTTCGTGAAAATAACAGCCTATCAAAAGACTGTCTGCAGATCCGCTCTCCAGTAAGTGGCTGCGGTCCTCGGGCAGTTTTCCTGTGCTGGCTTTGGGCTGGGACATTCGCTGTTGGCGATATCAGGCCAGTACCAGTCGCTTCACTTTAAAGACGGTCAGCCAAACCGGCCACAGGCAGGCACTGAACAGCTGACTGGCTTGGAAATGCTACAAGGCACAGAGCATCTGAGCTCGGCTGCGATCTCCCTCACAGTATAAATCGCCCTGCTCAGTGTCAGCACTCATTCTCTGTCTGTGTGTGTGTGCGTGTAGACAGCCACAGTGTGCTCTCTGAACATCGCACCGACTGTTTGCTTCTCTCAGTCAATCACCTGGCTGCCAGGCGCTTTGCTCTACACTGTATACAGTGTGGAACAACCACTCCCCTCCTCTGACACTCCGTTCGCTCTTTCCCCAGCCACAGCCGGCTCGCAGCCTTCTTCCCAGCTCCAGGCACAGCGAGGCCAATCGTCCGGGCGGGCACGTCCCGTACTAGCCCAAGACTATGTTGTTCCTCGCCGGATCGTCTACTGACAAGTTTCGGTGAGTCCATGTTTCTGCTCACGCCTACCAACAGGCCAACAGATTATAATGGTTGTGATAAAAGAGGAAGTTTAACTGAGATACTGGGTTTATTAAGCGACTGTCACAGAGGGACTGGAGTTGCGTGGGACAGTTAGACTGGAACACAGACTGAGGGGCTGGGTTAACTGAGAGTCTGGGGTAACAGTGTAGAGACTGGATAAATGTGAATCTAAGGTAACAGTGTGGGGACTGTGCAACAGTGTAGGATCTGGGTAACTGTCGGATCTGGGTTAACAGTGTCGGATCTGGGGTAACAGTGTCGGATCTGGGGTAACTGTCGGATCTGGGTTAACAGTGTCGGATCTGGGATAACTGGTGCTAGGTAACAGTGTGGGGACTGGATAAATATGGATCTGGTATAATTGTGGGTACTGGTGTAACAGTGTGGTCTGGTGTAACAGTGTGGGGACTGGGTGTGGGATAAATAGTGTGGACAATGGGTTACCAGTTGGGGACAGAGTCTGGGGTAACAGTGTGGGTCTGGGGTAACCATGTGGGTCTGGGGTAACCGTATGGGTCTGGGGTAACAGTTTGGGGGTTGGGGTAACGGTGTGGGAACTGGGTAAATGTGGATCTGGGGCAACAGCGTGTTAGCTGGGGGTAACAGTATGGTGGCTGGGGGTAACAGTGTGATGGCTGGGGTAACAGTGTGGGGCAGGGTGGGCGGTTTCCACTGTATACTGGTTGATTGTTATTTGGAGCAGACAGGAGCTACTATGTAAACTGTCCTCTCTCTGTGTGCCTGGTGACTTGCTGTGCAGCCTCTCTCTCTCTCTCTGCCTGTTCTGTGTGCGGATGCCTATTTGCTGCCTGGACTTTCTGTGCTCAGCAGCATGTTTGAAAAGAGCCGCTGTTTGCTCTGAGCCGGCAGCTGCTGATCTCTCTCTCTCTCTCTCTGCCATCTTCAATCGGCGAGCGGATGCCGGCTGTAAAACTTAAACCAACTTGACTCTCGGTGAAGCGATAGGTTTACACGTAAGTAAAACCGGGAGGGGGCGAGAGGAACAGGCGTTGGGGGGGGGGGGGGGTGGGTAAATGATTTAACTCTATTTGAATGTACCTTACCGAGTTCCATTCATCACACACGACTTTTGTGTCTGTAACATTTGGTACATCAGACGATAATTTACATGTTAATGTCAAATTCGGAGCCGGGGAGTCCCTTTGTGTGTCCCCGAGAGCCGTTTTCTTTCAGTGAGAGTCTGCTAAAGGGACTGAGCACACTCCCATCTCGCTGGTGATGAACAGGAAGGAAGCTTCAGAGGATGAACGCCCCTCATTTGTACAGCCGGACCGTTAGAGTTGAAACTAACACTGGGGATGAAACTAAGCATCACAAAACCAATCCCAGTTTCTGCAGCAGGAAAGGTCAATCGGGCTGGTCAGGCAGGGAGTGCGGTTGAATTGAATGATATAGAGACGCCTGTGATACAATCACATGTTTTCTCATTGTATCCAAGTTTGAACTTGATCTCTCTCTAAGAACCTCTAGTTAATTCTCCTGGTATAATTTTCCGAGCACGGATGTATTTGTGGCAAGTCCGCATGACTTTATTTGAATGATGTTAATCGGCCGTGCAGTAAAATAGAGAGAGAGAGACAGAGCAACATACTGTGGAGGATCCATGTGAGAGCAGACTGTCAGATGTATCTCTTGTTTACTTTGGCGGGAGCAAGTGATGCTTTTTGTTAAAACCGACTTTTTAAAAAAAATCCAGCCACAATCATTGCAACTTTCACAAAGTTTTGGCTGCCTCCCCTTCTTTAAGGAAAAAAAAATTCCCAATAGAAACGTGAAGATTTTGTTTAAGGCTTCAGCGCGGTTGTGATTCAAATCAAAGGCAGAAACTCGCCGCTTCACACGTGTGAGTTATCACTTGTGGGGTTTGCTTTTGGTCAGCAGCCAAGCTTATGTTGGCTTTGAGGAATCGCCCACTTCCGTAGAAGGAAGAGAATGGCTCGCCACTGACAATGGGTCTCAGGCATTTCTGTGCCTTGTGCCAAGGGCTGCAAATTACAAAGTGCACTGGGTCTTTTCCACATGAAGGCCCCCCCCCCCCCCCCCCAGTAAATCGCACGGGTGAGGGACCCTGCTTAATGACTGCTTTCAGCTCCAGCTGCGAGCGCTCCAAGGTACAGTAACAGCGACGATTGTGTTTATTCAGTTCAAAGTAAAGGTTAGAGAAGGAAAGCACCAGCAAAGGGAAAGCGGCCTCATAACGCTGGGACAACAAGGTGTAGAGCTGGATGAACACAGCAGGCCAAGCAGCATCATAGGAGCAGGAAGGCTGACGTTTCGGACCTGGACCCTTCATCAGAAATGCTGGGCTCCACTTTATCTGTCGTTTCGAGATGCAGAGCAACCGTCGGATGACAGAACAGGGGGAACTGGGTCTGTTACCCATCTGCACACCTGCTCATTCTTCATGTCCAGGAATAAAACGTGGCTGTGCATAATCTACAGAGCTAGAGAAAAGTACTCATTAATTCAGTGACATTCAGTAATTTAAAGGGATACTGCATTCACACACACACACACACACACACACAAACCCTGGCCATCTTTTTTATGTAAGAAAGACCAGTTTTAAACACATTGCAGACTAGACAATGATATCGTGAAATATAGCTTACCCCATGAAGAAGTAGAAAAGTTTTTTTTATTTATTCACGGGATGTGGCCATCTCTGGCTGGGCCAGCATTCATTGCCCATCAACCACATTGCTATGGGTTTAGAGTCACATGTAGAGCAGACCAGGTAAGGACAACAGTTTCCTTCCCTAAAGGGCATTACGAACCAGATTTTTTTTTCAACAATCAACAACAGATTCATAGTCATCAATAAACTCTTAATTCCAGATTTTTATTGAATTCAAATTCCACCATCTGCTGTGGATAGGATTCAAACCCAGGTCCCCAGAATGTTATCTGGCTCTCTGGATTAACAGTCCAGTGATGATGCCACTAAGCCATTGCCTCCCCTAAAAGACTTTTGCTTGAATAATAATTAGGTAATGCAAACAAATAAGCTGCCACTTTTGACTTATTGTCACTTCCCAGAATGATGAGGAACTTAGAGCATCAATTGACTTGAATATCTATCAAAGTGCAGTGCCATGATGTAAATTAGTTACTGGATATGGCTGATGTTAATAGACTGGAAGATGGTATGCCATGCAAATCAGTAATACTGATATGAGCTCTCCTTTGAAAGTGAGTTACTGGTTCTAATTAGTTTTTAAATGGGAAAGGTGTCCTTAGATCATTTTATCTCAGGGACACTGCGGAATATTTAAATAAACATTTCAAGAGAGGCAGGTCCCTGAATAATATGTTCCAAAACAATTCAAATGTAAATTGTTGATTTTCTGTGAATTGCTTCAATTGTTTTTAATATTTTTAATAGATCTCCATTTAGAATGAGATGAGGAGAAATTTCTTCACCTAGGGAGTGGTGAGCCTGTGGAATTCTCTGCCACTGAAAATGGTTGCAATCAAAACATAGAATGTTTTCAAGAAGGAGTTAGATATAGTTCTTAGGACTAAAGGGACCATAGGATATGGGTTGAAAGTGGGAACAGGAGACTGAGTTGGATGATTACTCATGATCATATTAAATTGCAGAACTGGCTCAAAGGGCCAAATGGTACACTCCTGCTCCTATTTTTTTGTGTTTTTATTAGTTACATTCAGCAAACAACCTAAGAGGAAATGTTTTAACTAAGAACAATATGACTCAAATTGATACCTTGATGACAGAATCTGTATTGCATCTTCTTTGGGTCACATGGTTGTGAATATACTGGCTATTTTATTTTGTGTACATTTGCATCTTATTAATTAGAGTATGGTATGTAGAATGAAATCTATTGGCCTCATTCTTTAATTGTATCACGGCAATCTTTATGTGCATCCCTACAAAGGTGTGATGCAAAATCATTTCAGTGGCTTGAATTCTCTTTGACATGAATGTTGATGCAGGCTTGAAATGTTCCAGTAATTGACGGTGGTAAAATAGAAAAATGTACTTTTATTGTGGCCCTCAAAATATAGGTGTTTAATTTTAACACACTTTTGAAATAAAGATAATCAATTTAAGCTCTGGGAGTGAAACCAAAATAGAAACACAATCTGAAAGCTTACAATGTTGGCAAAATAGAGCAGCTACATTACACATTGTATTATACCTTGCAAAGCAGTGAGATGAATACTTTGTAATTTATATTTGGCATTGATTGGGGGCAAAACTGTTGGTCAGAATATCAGGACAGTTTCTCTTTGGGATCGTTTACCCTTATCTAAAGTGTAAGACAAGTTCTTAGTATATTTAAAGGATTGCAGTTCCTTATCTCTGCATAGGAGTGTCAGCCTAATTCTGTTCAGATGCTGGAATAAGACTTGAACTTACACTATCAATCTCAGTGATGACCTTCACACAAACCAAGCATATATGAGAGTTGTTGACACTATTTATCTTGAGGAAAGCGTTTAAGATTTGAAGAAAATCGTATTTAGGGCACTCGTCTTATGGACCTAATGTACAGCAGTATGCACGTTAATTTTGCGACAGCTTTTCCACCATATCAATAAACTACAGGGTTTAAATCACATTTTAATACAGTCAAATGTGCAATATTCTTGTGCAAATACTGTCTATTTGTCATCTCTAATTACTCCCATCAGTACCAACAGTAACAGACATCATCAATATTGCACATCGCTGTTAATACGATCTCTCCAGAAATAACCAGTGTGCGGAAGGACAGCAATATAATTGGTTTAAAAACAGAAAATGTGAAACGAACTGAGCAGGCATCTGTGGAGAGAGAAACAAAGTTAGCTTTTCAAGTCCAAAGACTCTTCGTGGATGCTGCCAGACTTGCTGAATTTCTCGAGCATTTTCTTTTTATTTTGGATTTCTAGCATCTGCAATATTTTGCTTTTACAAAATTTGTTTTGCTGAGTGCACCATTCAAATGGACCTAATACACAAATTACACATTCCCTTCCACTTTATATTGGAATCCTAGTGACAACAATGAATACTGTATAATTATGGCTTTAGCAGTGCAGCATTAGACTGCAAATCACAGACTTCACCTGGGTTTTAACATTATTGAAAGAAACCACCAGATGGAGCACTTTGGATGAGAGCAGGAAAAACTGGCTGAGCAGGTTTATATCCTGCACAATGGACATCCATGGCCACATGCAATACCTAAGACATTAATAAAACGCTGGAATATAATAAAAATGAAACTGGACTTAAACAATAACCATAAACCAATATTCATGATTAATATGGATAGTAATTCCTATGAAAATTAAAACTAGACCTTTTGTTTATGGTTTTCACAGAATAACTGGAAGAATTACAGAATGCAAACTCCCACAACACTGGCCATCCAGAATTGCAAATAATTGAAATTGAATTTGACTTATTCACTTATTGCCTTTGGGCTGAAATATGGAGGGTGGGCAATGAATGGTAATTTGAAAGATCTGCAACAAATATCACCAAAACATTCTCTATGTATGTTATATGTGTCTAGTTTCTTCAATTGAAAATTAACTTGTGAGACTTTGCATTCAAGAAAAAAATGAATGAACTGGATTTCTGCATTTCTTTTCCCCACAGTGTTTGATGAGAATGTCAGTCAGCATGCACGAGAATCGGAAATCAAGAGCTAGCAATGGCTCAATGAATATTTACCTCTTCCACAAAGCTACATATGCCGACAGTGTTCTTATGCACCTGAATCTTCTACGACAACAGAGACTTTTCACAGATGTCCTCCTCCATGCAGGAGAAAAGACCTTTCCATGCCACAGGGCTGTGCTGGCTGCGTGTAGCCGATATTTTGAAGCTATGTTCAGTGGAGGATTACGTGAGAGCAAGGACAATGAAGTAAACTTCCATAATTCAATACACCCAGAGGTTCTGGAGCTCCTCCTAGATTATGCTTACTCATCTCGAGTTCTTATTAATGAAGAAAATGCAGAATCCCTTCTGGAGGCTGGGGATATGCTGCAGTTCCAGGATATCCGTGATGCTTGTGCAGAATTCCTGGAGAAAAATCTCCATCCGACGAACTGTCTTGGCATGCTGCTGCTCTCTGATGCCCATCATTGCACCAAGCTTTATGAGCTGTCCTGGAGAATGTGCCTCAGCAACTTTCCAACAATCAGCAAGAGTGAAGATTTCCTGCAGCTGCCAAAGGACACATTGGTGCAACTTCTCTCTAGCGAAGAGCTGGAGACAGAAGATGAGAAGCTTGTGTATGAGACCACCATAAAGTGGGTGAAGTATGACGTGAATAGGCGCCACTGTTGTTTGCCAGAACTGTTGCAAACGGTTCGATTGGCTCTGCTACCAGCTGTTTATTTAATGGAGAATGTGGCCATGGAAGAGCTTATAACCAGGCAGATGAAGAGTAAAGAGTTGATTGAAGAGGCAATACGTTGCAAATTAAAGATTTTACAGAATGATGGAGTGGTGACAAGCCTTTGCGCCAGACCTCGTAAAACAGGTCACGCCTTGCTGTTGCTTGGAGGACAGACTTTCATGTGTGACAAAGTTTATCTAATAGACCATAAAGCAAAGGAGATCATTCCAAAAGCAGATATTCCCAGCCCCCGCAAAGAGTTTAGTGCATGTGCAATTGGCTGCAAGGTATATGTGACTGGGGGGCGTGGGTCAGAAAATGGCGTGTCCAAAGACGTTTGGGTTTATGACACTCTTCACGAAGAGTGGTCAAAATCTGCTCCAATGCTTGTTGCGAGGTTTGGACACGGATCTGCTGAGCTGAAGCATTCTTTGTATGTGGTTGGTGGACACACTGCAGCCACAGGACGGCAGCCAGCATCACCTTCAGTGTCTCTCAAACAAGTGGAACAGTACGACCCAGTGACCAATAAGTGGGCAATGGTGGCCCCTCTTCGAGAAGGTGTCAGCAATGCAGCTGTGGTTAGTGCCAAGCTGAGGCTGTTCGCCTTTGGTGGTACTAGCGTGAGCCATGATAAACTGCCCAAAGTACAGTGCTACGACCCATGCGAAAATAGATGGACTGTGCCAGCTACCTGCCCTCAGCCGTGGAGGTACACAGCTGCAGCTGTGCTAGGCAACCAGATTTTTATCATGGGTGGGGATACTGAATTCTCAGCATGTTCTGCATATAGGTTCAACAGTGAGACTTACCAGTGGACCAAGGTTGGGGATGTGACTGCGAAGCGAATGAGCTGCCATGCTGTAGCCTCTGGTAATAAACTCTACGTAGTCGGGGGCTATTTTGGCACACAGAGATGTAAAACACTAGACTGCTATGATCCTACTTTGGACACATGGAATAGCATAACTACTGTACCATATTCATTAATTCCGACAGCATTCGTTAGCACATGGAAGCATCTTCCTGCATAGAAGAAGAATTCTTCAATATTTCATAGGTAAGGAGTTCTTCAATTCATGGGCAAGAGTCAAGTTAGTGAAGTAAGCCATTGGAAATGAAAAGTAAGCTGCAAAACAATTGAAAATAAAGCGAGCTCCAATGGGAAACTGACATGCCTTTTTCATGGTGAAGCTGTGATGCCAAGGGAGGACACAACCCCATTGTCCAACAGAATGATGTAGGACAGTGAAAAGTAATACGACCTTTCCTGAAGGATGTACACCAGGTTCTATCTCATGTCACCAAGGCCCAATTGTTATTTTAGTCAGAAGTTCATTTTGAGCCCTCCTCCAACCTAGTAGAAGAGGCAGGGTTTTTTTTAACAAATTTACTCCTAGGGCCAAGAGCAACAGGATTGCTCAGGCCTCCCTCCCCTGAAGGAAATGTCAGATTTCTCCTGCCTGGTAGCTTTTCACTATCTCCACAGCCACCCATAGCAGTGAAACCGCTTTCCCATAGCACACCAGAATATTTCGGGTTATTTCAGGCTCCGTCAGTGGCCTCATGCTAACCAACGTTCTATTCCTATCCAGCTCCAATCTACTCGGCCTCATGCTGCTCAGGTCAGGATGGTTTGCCTTTCACCAAACCCCAGCCTGCCCAACTCCTATACCCAAGTTAAAATTGGGGCTTTAGTGTCCTGGAAGGTGGTGCTGCCAACATTTTATTTTTCACACTAATTTGTGCAAAGTCAGATATAGTATATAATTAATGAGCATTTGTGTTTGAATGCAAGACTTTCCAATTAGAAAATGCTACGACAGAAGCAGTATGGTTTGAAAATAACATAAACGGGTGCATTTGTCCTAGAGATCATATCACTGAATGTTTAAGTAATCCTAAGAAAACAAGCTAGATTACCTATATACAGTATAAACAAATGCTTTAATTTAATCTTAGAACCTGCCATTCTGCAGTGATTTATTTAGTTTCAACATAATGGCCTGTCATAAAGCTGGCTAGCAGCCAATGAGTTATGAAGAGAAACAAAGATGAAGCAATAAAACGCATAACATTTCCTGCATTAACTTTGCAGGTTCCTTTTTATTGATATTTGTAGTCAGTGTCCTAGAAGGTTAATGTAATATTAATCCCCCATTCCTGATTTCATGACTCAATTGTTTCTAAGAGCACCATGTTGACAGGTTTTTAATGACAGGCTAAAGCAGAGGGGATCAGTAACAGACTAATTTTGAAGTCAAATTAACTGTCTATTGTCCTTGGAGCTAGAAGGGAGTGCGAGGGGCTGGACGAGAAAACTGCTAATGGAGATTTGCACAGCAGCACAAAAAGCTGATGGAAATCACAGTTGGCTTTTCACTTTCACTTGTGTGACCCTCACAGGACAAGTGGCCTGCATTCACTCTTCTTTCGACATTAGGGAGTCCCACTGGTTACAGTCCAGAGTTGGAACAATAAACATGTTGAATTAAAATTGCATACACAATGTAATTCTAATGGAACAAAGCTATTTTGTAATCCAAACCAGAATGTTCCCTGTAATTAGCACAATACTCTTTTGATACTTTTGTGTATGATCTAGATTTTTCTAAACATGTTTTTTCTTCCTTTTATTTTTGATAGCTTAGTGAAGAATACTGTTTTGAGGTCATGATTATAGTTCATTTAAAAAAAACTCATTAAATTAAGGCACTTTATACCACACAGCAGGTGAGATGGGATTGTCATAGCCTTAAAGGCTTGCACAGTTTTTAGTTATATTGCAGTTTCTCCTATTATTGGCTTACATTTCTTGTTTAAATGTTTTCGTTTTAACCTGCTGGAGCTGATTATAAGTGTTTTCCATGCATTTTGCATTTAGTCTCGCTTTAAAAGTCCAGATTCACTTGATGTACATTTTTTCCTTTCAATAGAAAGGTAAATGTTGCCAATATTTCACAATCACAGTCACAATCACTGTGACTGTTTTTGCTTATTTTTATAATCAGCACTTTTCATTTAAATATTGTAGATTTGGAAACATTGCCATAAATGGTTTAATATTGGATCTTATTTAAATGTATATAAATATCCAGCCCACTAAATTAACAATGGCTAACCTTAATTTAAGATGTTTTGAAATATTCAGTCAGTACAGCTTTGTTCACACTGAATTGAATGGATGGTGTGAGAGTTGGGAAAATCTCTCAGTAATTGAGATTCACTACATCCATCCTTTTGATTCAGTACCTAACACATGCCAATGATGATAAATCATGTTTATTACCAGTGTAAGGGATTCAGCTAATGGCTGAACCCAACCACAGAGGACATTTTTGCAAAGAATCCCCACAGCCACATAGGTGTTATATTTCCACTGATCAACAGAGCTTAAACTCGGAGTGTTTGGAGATGTTTACTATAACAAAGAAGAACTTTCTCTCAGGTGAATATGGTGCTTACTTCATCTGTTGCCCATGTTACCTAGCCTTATAAAATTTCTTGTAGTTAATGCAGAATTCTGCCTTCAGGACACATGAATAAGCCACCACTAATGTGCAATAAATGATTTAATCTTTTAGAAAGCCAGAATCATTAACTCAATGCAACCTCATATAGTTTGTCAGTAAAACTTGCCTTGAATATGAATTCATCATTATTCAGTATGTTCGATGCTTTACAATCTAGTGTGCAGAAATGACACTAAAGCTATGATGGCTGTGTTTTGGTGGCAAGTTTGGGCTTGCGACAAAAAAAACTGGAATGGAATACTCCAGGCATTACAATCCCTGTGATCCTGGGCCATGATCTGACCTTACAGATCAGCATTAACAATATGAGCCTGTTCACATCTAACACAAGAAACCACAACATAAACTGAGAACGAATATGGTGAAGAATAAATTGATTTAGTGTTGCAAAATTACAGCCGTTACTCTGTCACCATTCCACTTGGCTGTTACTTTGTTGGAATGGATGAACTGTTGAAGTTGAATGTGAACAGTATTTATAATATGGCCATGTTTCTCTTTTATTTTGTAAAAATTCCAGGACTCCCGATATGAAGATTTTGCATACTGTGAAGCAACGCAACTTAAATGAAGAACATAAAACCTTCTGCATCTGTTAGAGCTAAAATAATTTGGTTTCAGCAACCAGCACCTATTCTGATGTGAAGAAAATAATTTGGTTTCACATACACTTATTCTTCATGATGATGAAGTGATTTCTGAATACGGATTGATTGCCAGATAAATCGTGGACTCATGGCAATATTATTTGACTCCTCCAAAAGTTAAGACTTCTCAATTTGCTGCTGCACTGTCTATAGTCTTAATTAATTTCCAGCATTTATATATGAAACGTTAAATGGCTGTCACCTTGTCTTTGAAAGGCTGGCACCCGCTGTGAGAAGTGGGCAGATTGTGAAGGGTTTGGATGCCGGATTATTCACAGTCTCCCCAGGTCTTCATTAATGGGACCAGGGATCTGGACATTGTTGCTGGCACTGCCTAGGGCAACAATTACCCTGCTTCTGGAGTCTATTGCTGTCGGGCAGGCAAAACCGTTCAGGCTGGGCAGCTGCAAAAATTCAAATGAATCATTAAAGGTTAACTTTACGATAAGAGAGAGGAGGAGAAAAGCATGACCTGAGGATCAGCGATACTGCTTTGATATGAGTCTGTTATTTATGATTACCTTTTTGTAGGATATTTATTGTTAATGATGTTACTTGCACATTGAAATGACAAGTATTCATAAAGTGTATTTTGTGTTTGAGAGTTATTTGCACACTTGTTTAGCAGGAGAAGGGGTGTGTTGGGGGCACTGGGGAGGGCTGAATACATGTCCATTCTCTATCACATTAAACTGGCAAGTGTAAAGCTGCAGTGAAGGGGAGGGGAAATTTCCAATCGGAAACGAGATGAGTACAAAAGCTAGTTCTTAAATTACACTGGACAGAGGCAGTGAGGTCACTTTCTCGCCTGTACCTCACCAGTTTTGCATGGTGTAGTTTTGAACATATGTCCTTGTATCACTAAGCTTCCCAGCACTTACAGTACTTTGAAATAAATACTATTTAGAACATGCAAATTAATCTTGGAGCATGTAAATGTACAAATGTGTACAGACTTCATGTCAGCTGAGCCCAACCCAGGCCATTTCTTTATGCAGTCCCTTTTTACACACAATTATCTTGAATCAGTGAGAGTGAAAATGATCACAGCTGCAAACAGTTTTTGTTGTGATCCAAAGGTCAATGTTTCCTGGTAGGCACAGGCTAGATGAGAGACTGGAGGAAGTTATAGTTTGGAAGATTGAAATTTTGTAGAATTTAGTAAAGGATTTCTGATTGGCATACCTTATGTATGCAGGATTAACATGCTGTGCTACAACAGGCCGATATTAATCCATTTAAGATAAACGAGTCAATGCCCGTCATACCCTTAACTATCACAAAATGCAGTATGATCATGTTAATTCTCCACACTTGCAATCAGAATTTCTGCCCCTTTTCTTTCTAAAGCACCATTTTTCCACAAGTTAAGTGTTAAAGTAAAGGATGAGGCCTGTATCTGAAAATCCGAACAAAGCATTCAGTAACGGTTGTTATTTTATAAGTGGAACTATTTATTTGATCGTTACAGTATTGTTTCAGTGACATTTTTTTGAAGAAATTTGTTGTGAAGAAATAATTCTTGAAACTGTTAGATGAACACTGAAATTTGACAACATAATACACCCAGTGCCAATTAATCGGCCTCTAAAAAGGAGCTTGACTTATTCACTATCCTAACTGTGTATGTTGGATATAAACTAAACATTCATGATTGATCCTATCAGTTGATAAATGCACAACACATTTTGGAATTGAGCCCAACAAACTGACAAGAGTTTAGATTTCTGGTCTATTTGGAGACATTTGGGCCTGGGTGGTTTGGGGGTGGGGATACGTAATGATAAAGGTCCTAATATGTGTTTTGAAGTAACCATTAATTGGAGTAGGGAGTGGACCATTGCTCATGATCCTGCTGGTGATCTTTAAGCAGTGATCCCTGTTGCAGGGTTTTAGTGTGATCGTTTTTGGAGTCGGGGGGGAGTGGAATGGCATGAAAGGCGTTGGGTCAGTAATGATGCATGCACTGCATGGTTGAAGTTCATCCGTGAAGAGTAGTCGTTTTTGGCCAAGGTCTAGTTATAGTCAGTGAACATTTATCAACATGAGTTCTCGCCTTTAGAGGACTGGAGAAAATCATGTTGTGGGGGAGGAAGAGAGTTGATAAAGTGAATAAAGCTAATAAGTGATGGATTAAATAGATGTTTTGTTTGTGAAGTGGAATGATAATATAGTGGTGGATGTTTAATGTTTTGGTGTACTTCATTTGTCTAAAAGAGCTGGATATCGAACTCCAATTTCCTTATAAATCAGCAAAATCAAAATTTTTCACATGATGCAGTTGAGAAAAAAAATACATTATGCATATTTTTGAACACTGAGGCAGGAATAGCAATCATTTCTGAAATGTTTGTTGAAGACTAAAGGCCCTTGAATAATAGCAAAGAGAAGGTAACTAAAAGCAGGGTGGGCCTCAGGCTCTGCAGGGAATGTTCTGGGCTCCCAGTTTTTGAATTGATGTGGAAATTTTGCTTGCTGTTTGACAACTGGGGATCTGCAAAAACACCACACAGTCTGAACAAAATGCACTCCACAGCAGAGTGCACACACAAAGTTGGCGTAAGACAAGGGGGTTCTTCCTATTTTGTCCACTTATCACCATAGCAACACATAGCAAAGCACACTCTTCTATTTCCAATGTAATTGTATAAAGGCCTTTTCATGAGAGCTGACACCTGTCTGACTGAGAGTGATTAGAAATGAATAATGTCTGTACCAACAAGAGTAGATATGTGTGTACAAAATTATGTCAGTGTAAGATTTACTGCAAGCGTTTCCGTTTTTTTACTGCTGGAATGTAACATTTTTGTAAACGTACAATTTTTCACAATGTGAAATCAAAGACATTAAATTGTGTTGCCATTTCTTCCATGTGGCCTGAATTGAGTTATTTTGTCAATACTATAATTCATAGTGACTAATTTAAAATGGGAGATATTGTCGCAATTATTTGGTCCTTTGATTTTTTTTAACTGCTTTGCTTAAAATATGCAGTTATTTTCCAGTTTTATGAGAATTTGAAATGTAAAGGGTGTTATGATGATGGTACTTAATTAGTAATCATTGTCAATCTTCCCTTTGCCACTGATATAAGTAACTGCACACTCTCCAGACTAAAGATGGACAACATTTCCTTTCCTTGTTGGTACTTTCGCAATCAGTTCTGGTCACCACACGTCCAGAAGGATGTAAAGGATGTGGATGTTTTAGAGAGGGTACAGAAAAGGTTTACCAGGATGTTGCCTGGTATGGGGGGATTTTAGCTATGAAGAAAGGTTGGGTAGACTGCGTTTGTTTCCGCTGGAATGCAGGAGGTTGAGGGGCAACCTGATAGAAGTTTATAAGGTTGTGAATGGCATGGACAGAGTGGAAAGTATGACGGTTTTTCCCAGGGTGGAGGAGTCAATTACTGGGGGGACACAGGTTCAAGGTTTGGGGGTGTGGGCGCAGATTAAAAGAGATGTGTGAGGCACGTTTTTCACACACAGGGTGGTGAGTGCCTGGACTGTACTGCCAGAGGAGGTGGTGGAAGCTGACACAATAGCAGCATTCAAGAAACACATGGATGAATACATGAATAGGAAGGGAATAGAGGGATACAGATCCTGTAAGTGAAGACAGTTTTAGTATGGAAGGGCAAAATGTGTTGGCGCAGGCTTGGAGGGCCGAAGGGTTTGTTCCTGTGCTGTATTGGTCTTTGTTCTTTGTCTTTTTTCCAACGAAAACTTTGCAGCAGGAGTGATGGTAAATGCTGGACAAAGTCAGAAATCAAGCGACACCAGGTTAAAGACCAACAGGTTTATTTGAAATCACAATGAAAGAGCTATGCTCCAAAAGCTTGTGATATTAAATAAACTTGTTGGACTATAACATGGTGTTGCGTGACTTCTGACTTTGTCCACTCCAGTCCAACACAGGCACCTCCACATCATGGTAAATTCTGGGGAAGAGGGGTAGCTTTGCTTTATGGAATAGCCCTGATTTCTTTCAAAAAGTACATACTGTGAGAATTCCTATTTTGTTGTATTCATTTGTGTTGCAGTATCCAACATTTGATGAACATTGTAACATTCAGTGGTACAGACAGTTTCAAGGATGCTACATTATGACTGCTCCAAAGTATTATTTACATTCAATTCTGCATGACAATAGTGGCAGGGCTTGTCGCAAAGTTTCAACATATTATTCAGGATAGTTCAGGTGTCACTGGAGAGGAGTTCAAAGGTGACAGGAGTTGAGACTGGGGGTCAGTGCATGTCTGCATGTGTATGTATGAGAGAAAGAAGCAGAATTGAGTTAGGCTGGACTGCTGTTAACTGTTCTGCTAAGGATAACTGGTCTACACAGGGTCTGTGTTGTTGGGGTTCATGAATGTCCGAGAGCAGTTGAATAACTCAGTGTAGCCATGAATCAGGGAGGTACTAGGAGCTTTGTTGACCTGAAAGAAGTCTACATAGAGTTAATAGTTAGTCAACTAAATTACAAAGTCCCACCATTAGAAGTGGTTGCCAAATGCTACATAGTTACCTTGGGAGTCCTCAACTCTGACTCCAAACACCATCAAGTTTCTTGCAACAGCTCAAAAATGGGCAAGGAAATCTCGTGATAATTCTGACCTACGTTCCTCCACGCTAAACACCACTTGGAGGAAGCACAGAGAGAGACAAAGGCACAGATGTACTCTGCATGGGGTACTTCAATGTTCCATCACCTATCTCTGTGCTAAATGGGTAGATTTTGAACAGATGTAGCAACTCAAGACTGAGCATCCTTGATGTGTTATGGACCATCAGCAATAGCAGATTTGTACTCAAACACAATCTGTAACCCCATGGCACCAGGCATATGTAAAAATGAGGTAGCAAACTTTGTGAAATAGCATAAACAGCAAGTGATAGACAGGGATAGGAAATTCCACAACCATTGGATTAAATCTAAGTTTTGTCGTCCTGCCACATCTAGCCGTTAATGATTGTGGAAATTAAGCAAATCACTGGAGGAGGGATCCTTCTTCAGAAATGGGGGAGGGGGAAGGGAGCTCAGAAATAAATAGAGAGAGGAAGGGTGGGGCTGGGGAAGGTAGGTGGTATGGTGATAGGTGAGTGCAGGTAGGGAGTGGTGGGGATTGGTCAGTGAGGTGGGAGGAACGGATAGGTGGGAGAGAAGATGGACAGGTTGTGTCAGGTCAAGGAGGCAGAGGTGAGAGGGAGGGTTGGTCATGGGATGAGGCCGGTTGTGGGGAGATTTTGAAACTGGTTAAATCCACATTTAGGCTATCGGGCTGTAGGCTCCCAAGGTGGAATATGAGGTGCTGCTCCTCCAGTTTGTGTGTGGCATCATTGTAACACTGGAGTAGGCCCAGGATGGACATGTCACCCCGGGAGTGGGAGGGGGATGTAAAATAGTTGGCGACCGGAAGGTGTTGTCGTTTGTTGCGAACAGAGTGCAGGTGCTCTACAAAACTTCTCCGAGCCTCCACTCGGTCTCACCGATGTACAGAAGGCCACATTGGGAGCAGTGGATGCAGTAGACCACGTTGATGGATATACAGGTGAACCCCTGTCTAACGCGGAAGGTTTGTTTTGGACCTTGAATGGAGGTGAGTGGGGAGGTGTAGGGGCAGGTGTAGCACTTCCAGCGGTTGCAGGGAAAGATGCCGGGTCGGTGGGCTAGTGGGGAGTGTGGAGCAGATGAGGGAATCGCAGAGAGTCCCTACGAAAGGCAGGTAGGGGTGGGGAGGTAAATAGATCTTTGGCTGTGGGGTCGGACTGTAGGTGGCAGAAGTGGCAGAGAATGATACATTAGATATGGAGCTTGATGGGGTGATATGTGAGGATAAGGGATATTCTGTCTTTATTTTTGATGGGGAGAGGGGATGTGAAGGCAAAGGTGCGGGAAATGCAAGAGATGTGGTTGAGGGCATTTTCAATCACTGAAGGGGGGATGTTGTGGTCCTTGAAACAGGAGGACATCTGGGATGTTTGGGAGTGGAATGCTCCATCTTGGGAGCAAACACGACAGAGGCGTAGGAATTGGGAGTTGGGGATCGCATTCTTGCACGAAGGTGGGTGAGAGGAGGTGTAGTCTAGGTAGCTGTGGGAGTCAGTGGGCCTGAAATAGATGTCGGTTTCAAGGCGGTCACCAGAGATGGAAACAGGGAGCTCCAGGAAAGAGAGGGAGGTATCGGAGATGGTCCAGGTGAATTTGAGGTTGGGGTGAAAGGTGTTAGTAAAGTTGATGAACTATTCAAGCTCTTCGTGGGAGCGTGAGGCAGCGCCAATACAGTCATCGATGTAATGGAGGAAGAAGTGGGGAATAGCGCCAGTGTAGCTGCGGAAGAAGGACTGTTCCACTGTAGCAGCTGAAGAGGGACTATTCCACTGTAGCAGGGACTGTTCCATCAGCTATTGAAGCAATCCATTATGATGTTTTTGATGGTATTTGGGAAAGTTGGGAGCTGCGTTATCAAAAGCGAAGAATCAAAGTCTCTTGTGAGGTTTTAATGACATTTGGTGAGTTGCAGCATCACTAAGATCCTGGAAAGAGAATGTAATAGTGGGCATTATGCTTGATTTTATTTGCTATTTGATGTGTTTTGTTGGGTGTTCAATCATGGTTTGTCTATGACTCATATTTTTCTCATGTTATATTTGGGATGTTAGAATATAAGATGCGCTACATGACACTATGACTCTATGCGTACACCTTGCACAGTCTAAATGTTTTTGTCAATAATCTTTTCTTGTTTATTTTGTTTTGTTTGTGATAAATAATAGAGATTAATTTCTATTGATGAGAAAAAGCCTACTGAATTTTGTCTAATACTAAACCAATTAATCTAAAACTAACATTTATTTTACATTCATTCATAGGATGTGGGCGTCCCTGCCTGCACCAATATTTATTGCCCATCCCTAATTGCCCTTGAGAAGATGATGATGAGTTGTCTTCTTGAACCACGGCAGCCCATTTGTTTACACTTAGCCATATCACCACTCTTGGTTAAATTTAAAATTAGTTCTAACCAGTGAAAGAGTGGGACTGGGAAAGAATTGGTGCACACTACTCATTTGAAAAGCTGTAGCATACAAGGCTACGCAATTAGAATAGCTAAATACTATTCTCAGTTGCTCAGTTCTGAGGTAGGGTCATCTTAGGTACAATCTTGGTATAGATTCTTCAAAACAAGTTCTTCGGGAAAAAAATTAGAAAAGTAAAGAAATATAAAGTTCAGCATTGCGGAATTGTAAGAATAAATTAGAAAATAGAGAAATGAAAAGTTCAGAAGAACGGTCCTTCCAACCCAGTCTACTCTGGCACTTAGCCTCCAATCTGCACCAGGCTTTGACTCCAAACCACACTGGACATCACCTGGAGGTTCTCAAGACCGGGAGACTACTCTGGAATCACCTTGCACCCATTACAGCATTGGTCCAGAGAGGAAGTGAGAGTAACTGCCCTTAATATCAAGGCAGCATTTGATTAATTATGGCATGAAGAAACACTGGCAAACCTGGAGTCAATGGGAATCAGGAGCATAGTTTTCCACTAGTTGAAGACATACCTGTCAGAAGGGAAAATTGTTGTGGTTGCTGGAAGTCAGTCATCTTAGCTACAGGACACCGTGACTGTACAATGAATGAATGAATGATTTATTTTTTGTCACTTGCATTTTACAATGAATTGTACAGTAAAATACAGTGAAAACAGTTGCCACAAAACATTCAATACTCCTCAGATACTGAAGCAAGGATGTCCATATGCAGCAAGACCTGGACAACATTCAGGTTGATGAATGGCAAGTAACAAATGCACCACACAAGAGCCAGTTAAGAACTATCTCCAACAGGAGAGAATATAATCATC